AAAAGACCACTTAAGGTCAAATCCATATTTTTATCATGTGACCCCTTCGAAACCATGCAACTTTTGTCTGAAATATATTTTGATATCTCACTTCGTTTCCGAAAAATATGCCCGCGTCACTATAAGTGCCGCACCCTATATATATACATATATATATTTATTTATTTATTTTAGTTACACCGTGTTTGTGTGTGTGTGTACATATATATATAGGGTGTAACTAAAATAAAGGGACAAACTTCGGAGGCAAGCTCTCCACACCAAAACATGAAAAAAAGTTTATATCAACATATACATACGCTAATATTTCTTAATAAAATTGTATTTTCTAGATTCTAGAATTCACCTTGTTTAAAAAAATTAAATTGTAGGTAATTTCCTATGTCAACTCATAAATAGATAATTTATCTTGTCTAAAAGATTAAATTGTATGTAATTTCCTTTTATATTTTATATTTTACATAAAAAATAACATTTTTTAAAATATAATTCTTTAAAGTGAAATTGAAAATTTATGCTGCACATATACATATATATGAATTAAGTCATCATTTCTATGCATTATATCTAACGACAATATGACGATTAATTATGTTACAATCAAACTGTTAACAATTTAATTTTCTTGAAAATATTTATTTATTAACAAAATATATGAATAATTTTCTATTACGGCACAAACAATCTTTTTTTTTATAGAATACAATAATATTTGTACTATTACAATAATATTTGTATTTCAAAACACTACATAAAGTAAAAATTGACAGAGAATCCTGATTACATTTTTAATTTATATGTTGTTTACAGGATATTATCGAGTCAATTACGATTTAGAGAATTGGAAAAAAATTGCAAGATACTTAGCCTCTAAGAATTACATAAAAATACACGTTCTTAATCGTGCTCAAATTATTGATGACGCTTTTCACTTCATGATAACGAAACAACTCGATTCTTCCATATTCTGGAAGATTACAGAATATCTAGAACAAGAAACAGATTTTGTAGCATGGTATCCTATGTTTAAAGCTTTAGAATACATGTCGAGTGTTTTTCCACTTCCAAAAAGAAAAACTGATAAAATCAAGGTAGATATTAATAGACTTCTTGTTAATTTATGAGGAGAGAAAGAGCATAATATGCAGGGTGAGTCTTTTTAATCTTAACAGGCAAATATTTCAAAAGTAAGTTTTAGAAAAAAACGGCTATAAGAATATGCAATAAAAAATAGAGGTTTTAATTTAAAAAATTTAATGTGACCTTGATATGACCTTAACAATGCTACCCAAGGTCTAACTAATATTCCTATCTACTTTCTCCCTTAGAACCAAACTGCTTTTGTCTAAAAAGTTTTCTTCTAAAACTTACAGGTTTTGAAATATTTGCCTGTTAAGATTAAAAAAACTCACCCTGTATAACAGATTATTTATTATTTTCAAAAACTTTTAATAAATTTCATATTGGGTCATAAACATCATTTAGATTTTAGATAAAAAATAATCAATTTGCCATCTCTATTTTGTCATTTTACCCCTATACAAATTTTTTTTTTTCATGGTGACAAAAATATAAGTTTTATATTTAATTTAATTTTTATTATTTAATTTTATTTAGTTTTAAATATATATTTTATTAATTATAAAATATAAAGTTTATATCATTTATGGTTTCTTTTTTTAGATAAGAATGCGGAGTATTTTATATAAGGTGCTTCAAGAACTTGTATACGAAGAAATTCCTAATGAAAACGATTTTAGAAAACGTTTAAGACAAGAAGCTGCAAAATGGGCGTGTTCTTTTGATGATCGGATATGCATAGAAATAGCCAACCGTGATTTAAGACAACATCTCGCAAATCCCGAAGAAAACAAGTACTTTTTCTCACATATTTAGTCTTTTTTAGTCCAATTTGCTTGTAAATATTTCATGCTATGTTTAATACATTGCTTGGCCAAAATATAAAAGCAAGATATGCTAAACATATATGACAAAATTTTATTTTTTGTTTAACCTCGTAGACTCTTACCATGGTGGAAAGAATGGACATATTGTAATGGTTTAAAATTAATGCCCGATCCTCATATTATGAGTTATGAAAACTCTACTTGGTGGGCAGTACATCGTATGGGAAAGGAAAAATTTAAAACTAAAGTTTTAGAATTTCTGGCTTGCCCTGAGCATCCAGATTTTATAACAGACTATCTAAATCTGATAGGAAATGATAGTGAAACATCGATTATGTTGCTAAAAGATTTTCGCAATCAAGATTATATTAATTGTTTCCTTTTTACTATTGCGAAGTACGCGAGGAAAAATAAAGTACTTAACTTTATATTAAACAAATTTAAGGAAATAAAACCAAAGTAATTTGACAATTTTCTCATAAATATATCATTCATAAGTTTATGTGTATGTTATATATATCTACTATTGCGTTTTTTATAGGAAAATCAATACGGTTGTAGCATTAACAGTTCTTATAAATCATTTATATTCTAAGGAACAACTCAAACAGGTAAAAATTGTATTCGCTTATATAAATTTGAAATATGATTCTTATGGTGCGAGAGATGAAACTATTATTTAAAGTTGATATAAATATCAAAATAATCTTTTTTGTAGATGAACAAGTTTCTGACTAAAAATTTGGAGGAATTAAAAAATTATACAATAAGGAGAACATTAGAAAATTTGCAAGAACCTTTAGATAAAATTCTCGAGGTAAATTTTATAAATACAATTACTAAAATGTACTTGCTTATTAATCGTTTATTTAATTTTATTTCTATTTGCATAGAATGTGTTTATTACAGTGTTGTGTTATAGTATTTCAAATAAACAAGCAAAAGTTATCATTATATTTCCCTTTGATAATTTTTTGATGATTAATATAAAAACTATTTATTTTAGATTAATGCGGAAATGATAAGACAATTGAAAAAAGAGGAACAACTGAATAATATAATTCTAAACAAGCTAGATATACGCTCTCACCAAATCGAATCTCAGATAAAGTATCTTGACAATTTAGTATTATAGTTATTAGTTAATGAAAACTGATAATAGTAATATATATCTATCTCAGTATAAATATATCTGTTTGGTAAATATTTTTTTGTACGCCACATACTTAATATTTTAATTTTGTACGCTTATTGTTAGGTGCATTAATGATACTCGATTCGTTTGCATTAACAAAAATATTTCATGCATGCGGTTACAAGTTTTCTTATCACTTTGAGATATTCAAATTATACAATTAATTATGTAAATAAGAAAGTATGATTTTTTAATATATGGATTAATATATCATATTTTGTAAATGTTATAAAAACAAATTTGTCTGTTGAATACAAATATGCTGAATCATTAATGCATCAAAATGAACCATCTGTTTTTGTATTTTGAATTGTATTTTAAATTGTATTTTGATTTTTCTTTAACTTTTTCCTTTAACTTTTTTCATGTCTGTGATATTATTTTCTAATACATATATATTTATTCTAATATTTTGAATTAAGCTTATTAATAATATATGTAGATTAATATATGTATTTTAATGTTGTATTCATAGTTAATTATTTTTAATCTAGATTATCGTATAATATTCTTTCGCGTCGGTATCAGCACAGCATTGCCACGAGTCGCACAATGGCTCATATGTAGCATGCGCATTTATTGCTATCTGGATAAAACTGACAATTGTCTTGATATCCTAAATATATTAATTGCAAATGGAGACAAAGAAAGAGAGAGAGAGAGAGAAAGAGAAAAGGAGAACAATAACTAAAATATGTTAATTGTATATTTTTTATAGTTAACTTTAAAGAGCTATAAAAAATATGATAAATTTGTTTATTGTAATAAAAAGAAACATTATTCACGTAACAAATTTTTAAATTAAATCAAATTTTTTAACTGGCTATTGTTTGTTTATTTATTGTATAATTGTATATTGTATAATTGTTTGTTCATTTATTATATAAGATAAAATTTTGTAAGATCCTATCTAAATCTAGACAGTGATTAATAGTATCATAATTATGGCGAATATTATTCTTACTTATTTTTATCAATTATCTCAAACATTTAATATAAAAGTGGTTTTTCGCTTTGTTATAATTTTATTTAGTACATACATAACTATAAATTCTATGCAAATTTGTAAGTATTATATTTTTATACATATACTTTTATTGCTATGCAAAGATACAAAGTTGCTTTGTAATAAGCCGGAGCTATTTAATGAAGCATCTGTCATAAATAAATTATTTTTAAAATTTTTATCAGTTTTTTATCAAAATTATTATCCCAGTATATTATGTCTTTATATAATATACAAATTATATAATTATCGCTTAAAGACGTTTCTATCTTTGTTTTTGTTGTTTATTTAATTGTTAAAAATTTCCATAAAAATAATATAATATACATCTAATAAGATTATAACAATCGGGAGGGCCCCAATTGCCTACAAATTTATTGCCAACAGCATCGACTGCCAACAGACCGTTTGCCAACAAATCGTTTGCGCACAAAACATTTTTCTGTTTGTGCGCAAAAGTGTCTGTAGGCAATCGATTTGTAGGCAATAGTATCATGTGTGCAAACGTATGTTCGTTTCTTAATGTTTAGATTTGTGCGCAACAGAACTTGTAGGCAATCGTTCCGTAGGCAATAATGTCATGTGTACAATGCAGCTTGTGCGCAATAATATCGTGTGAGCAAAGGTACGTTCATCTTTCAATTTTTTTATTTGTGCGCAAATGTGTTTGTAGGCAATCGATTTGTAGGCAAAAAGTTTTGTGCGCAAACGATTTGTTGGCAAACGGTCTGTTGGCAATCGATGCTGTTGGCAATAAATTTGTAGGCAATTGGGGCCCTCCCTAACAATCACATCAAAAGCTAACAACTTGTGCTATTTGAAAAAACTGATGTAAAAATCACGCTCATACACTAATTATGATATTATTGTAACATATTGTTCAGATTTTGCAATAAAATGTTATAAAATTTTATTCTATACAAATATTGCTGATTACCTAATAGAATCGCTGATGCGGCGATTAATTGAAACACTACTAAATTGAAATTGCAAATCTCTTCAAGTAAATTCAAGTAGATTCATGTAAATTCATGTATTAGAAAACAAATCTTTGCGAACTGACAATAAAAATATGAGGTCTATATTTATAGCCATTTTCCAGCTAAAGAACGTAATAATAATGAGAGTTTATTAGAAATAGAGAAAGATACGAGCACTATAATATTTTTTCTTTTTTATTTAATATGTTCTTGAAATATTAAATATTGATTAATGTAATAAAGATATAAAGATCCGAAAGTAATAAAATATATGAGAGAAAGATTACACATAAAAATAATAGAAGAATTAATTTGAAGTAAAACATATTTAACGTAAAATATACACACAATTACATGTTGGATCATTTTGTAAAATCATTTTTTTATAAGATTCTATAAAATATTTTCATCAATTTCTTACACTCATGTGATATTCATGTTAGTTTTGAAAGTTTGTCTGCGGCTGATCGGAATAAATTTTATATGAACCGGATGAGAAGGACAAATCAACATATTGAACTTCAACCGGATATCCTTTAAATAATCTATGGGCTCCAAGTAAAAATTGTGCACCAAAGGAGCAATCATAGCTTTCAACTCCAACAGACCGAATCGTTGACCTACAATTCAAAGTCTTATCAAAAACTATCGACAAAGAAAAAAAGAAAATCGCGAGCAATTCACTTATGCAATTCCTGGGTCCTGCGCTGAACGGTAGATAAGAATAAGGATGATGATTCCGTATCCTCTCGAGCAAAAATCTATCCGGATCAAATACTTTTGGATTTGGCAAAAAATTGGGGTCTCTGTGAACTCCGTAGATATTAAGATATAAGATTGTTCCAGACGGTACGACATATGAATCTGTGAAAAGTGTATTATAAAATTACAAAATATAAAAATTCATGAAATTAAAAGAGAGAAATTTTTGAGAAATAACATGTACATATATATTGTATTTTTAAATTTTAAAACGATTAAACTTATTTTACATTTGATAATACATAGGAAAAGGTAGGGTAAAACCGGGTACTTTTTTGGATTTATCTTCCTACAAAAAATCAGACAGTAAAAAAAATTTTACTAACCGTTAGTAATCTTTAGTGGACCTTAAATTGAGAAAATGAAGCTAGCTACTGAAAAAAAAAAATTTGTACCGAGGAAAACAAGATTTTTTGAAGAAGTCAAAATACCCGGTTTTGCCGGTAGGGTAAAACCGGGTACCCATTTAAAAACATGTAAAACACCGTGCAATTACAAAATCTAAATTTATTTTAATTAAACTATACAAAGATGTATTTTATTGACAAAAATCACAAATAAAGATATCCTCTTGTTCTACATTGCTGCAAAACTTTCTTATTTAATTTTTTAGATCTTAAAAAGATTTTTTTTTAGTGGTATTTTTTTCTGAGTGATTGTTTTTGTTTCCAATTGCTTTTTATAGGGAAACAAAGTCAGGATAACAGTGTTTCCTCTTTTCATTACATGAGATGTGTAGGTTTTGCCTCAACACGAAAAAAATGACAAACACGGAAGCTGTATATTCCGGCGTACAAAGTGACGATCAAAACTAATGCGATATAATATGTACAGAATGCAATGCTACATTTACCGAAACAAATGCTCTGTGTAGGAAAAATCCATAACGATTCGATTGTTGCCTCGATATCGATCTTTTCTAGCCCGAAAATTTTGAACTTCTTTCAAAAAGGAAATATCGTGTGCACGTGGGCACGGTTCATTTCAAAATAATGATGGCATCAACCTACAACTAATAACACGAGTTAGCCAAAGATAGTAGCACTTATCACGAAAAAACAGAGGTACCCGGTTTGACCCGCCTACCCGGTTTTACCCTATTTTCCCCTACTCTGTAAAATGTGACATATTAAAAAATATATGTAGCAGAAAAGTGACTAATTACGTAATTTTACATCCTCCTTAACATCTCGTACTACAAAAAACACGGTGGGATATAAACGTAGCGTTTCCTTTAAACATCTGTCTAAATATGGTAAATTTTGCAACGATTTCATGATAAGTTTCCCTCCGTTCTCTTGCATCACGGTATCGACTTCAACCCTCACACGTTCCTATGATCGTTCATCGATAATAATTAAAGTGTATTTTATAATATTTCGGTTTTTGTATGCATAGATACAAATAAATTTTTAATGAATGACAAAATACATCACAACAAAAGGTTGATATCTATACTTACTTTGAATGAAAATTGCAATTTAAATAACACACTACTCAAAAAAAAAATTAGGAATACTTTTCATACTCTAAAAATTGGGCTATTTTCAAATCGCTGAAACTTGACAAAAAATCATCGTAGACAAAAAGTTGAAAAAGCATTTTGAAGCTTGAAGTTAACGCCCTATCGGTGGTTTAAAACATTTTTTTTATCTTCTTTGTTTTAAAAAGAAACCCATTGTTTTGTTTCTTAAAATTATGTATTTTTGACACTTTGCAGCTCGATAAAAAATATTCTCTCGAAGAAATCATCTCACAATCAAGTTCCATAAACTACAACATTTTGCCTACAAAATGCTGTTTTAAAAATTTTCCTACGATTTTTTTTGACTGAGTTACACGATTTTGAAACTAAATCTGTATTTTCTAGAAATGAGAAAATAAAAAAAATTTTTTGAACTATTGATATTACGTTACAGTTGAAACTTCAAGCTTCAAAAAACGCTTTTTCAATTTTTTTGTTTGCGATGATTTTTCGACAACTATCGACATTATTTCTAAAAATACAGGTTTAGTTTCAAAATCGTGTAATTCGGTCAAACAAAATCGTAGGAAAATTTTTAAAAAAGCATTTTGTAGGCAAGCTGTTGTAGTTTATGGAACTTGAGATGAATTTTTCGAAAGAAATTTTTTTATTGAGCTTCTTTTTTAAAGTACAGAACACGGAAGATAAACAATTTTTTAAAAATCAACAATAGGACGTTAAAGTTGAAATTTCAAGCTTTAAAATGCTTTTTTTAATTTTTTGTCTACGATGATTTTTCGTCGAGTTTCAGCGGTTTGAAAATAGCCCAATTTTTAGGGTATGAAGAGTGTTCCCTATTTTTTTTGAGTAGTGTATATTGCAATATACTGAGAAAAAAATACCTGGACATTTTTGTGTTCAGCTAATAGTAATAAAGCAAAGGTCATACTCATCGCTGTAGTATCGTGACCCTGTAATCATCGTCATATGCATACCGTATTATAGTTAAACGTGCTTAGATGATATGTACAAAAAATTAGAAAAAGAGATTCAGATACATACCGCAAACATAAACGTATCGACTTCTTCTCTGATGTCCAAATCAGTCAACAAATTGTCTTGAGATGCCGCTATTAAGAGATC